GGGGGGGGGGATGCGCACCGGTTCCGACCATAGGACATGAGCACACGCGACCGGCTGTGACAGAGGCGGCGGATGGAGGCCAGCAGGGAAAGCCCCGTTTCCGGGTCGTACATGATCTCGGCACCGATCACATAGTCAAAGTGCCCCTCGAGGGGTGGAGACAGCTCGGCGCCCCTGCGCACCAGCCAAGACATGAGGGGTCAGGAAGAGCGCGAAAGCCCGGGGGGGGGGGGCGGGGGGGATCCCCTCAAGTAGGGCGACGCACCAATTGTGATCCGTCACGGTGACCGGCCCGAAGTTCCGCGGGTAGCTTGTCGGTGGGGCTGGAGCATCGGCGGCCGGGGGAAAGCACCGTCGGGCATTGACAGACAAGGTGTCGAGACAGCGCAGATTGTCCGCCTCGGTGGCCACAATATCGAAGGGGCCCTTCCCTTCGGTGGGGCTGGCCCGTTGCCAGTGCTGGAGGAGCCGCGCCAAGACCAAGCTCACGAGGCCACACCCGGCGCCGAGCTCCACCGCGCGGAAGCTCGCCCGGTCAGTTCCATCCTCCGGCGCGCATTCCAGCAAACGGCCGGCCTGGTACTCGCGCTCGAGGAACTTCGACAGCATGATACTCTGGGCGCACCGAAGGCCGCGGCGGGGAGGGCGGAGGTGAGTGATTGGCGGTCGCGCGAAGGGGCACAGGAGACATGTGGCCCGGGGCCCACAGACGCACCCCATCCCAAACGGTAGTCCCAATGGCTGGAGCATGCGCGGAGGGCAGACAACGAGGCGGGGGATTAGCGATCTATAGTGGGAGATCTCGAAGGCGATGCTGAGCGGGGGGGGGCCCCTCCCCCTTACACACACACACACACACACACACAATCAGACAAGCCGACCACTGCCGGCTTCGCGGAATACCGGCGGCTGGCAGGCTTCTGTGCGCAGCGGAATATCCGCCTTATGCACTTCCCGGTTCCCGCATACAAAGAGGGGAAGCTGGCCCTATCGCCTGACATGGTGGCACTCATTCTCCGGGTGCGCCTCGTTCTCCCGGATGCCCCTCCTTGGACTTGCGCGCGCGCGCGCGCACACACAAACACACACACACACACATACATACATACATACATACATACATACATACATACACATGCACGCACGCACGCACGCACACACACGCACGCACACGCACGCACACGCACGCACATTGACAGCTCGTCTTCTATGCTCTCCTGCTGATCTCCCACCACACCATTCGAAGGCCATCCTCGACTCGGACGCGATCAAGGTTATACACATAGTCCTTTTCCCGGGTGATGCGGACCGGGAGGCCTGGGGTGGGGTGGGGTGGTCAGCGGCTGACCAGGAAGGACAGCGGTGAAGATCAATCACTCAAGGGCGAACCTTCTCGACGCCAAGACATGCCTGATTGGTGCGGTGGGGGGGGAGATAGAGGGAGCGATAGGAGGGAAGAGAAAGAGAGAGAGAGAGAGAGAGAGAGAGAGAAAGAGAAAGAGAAAGGAGGGAGCGAGGTTCCGGGAGGGTGGCCTCAACGAGGGCAAGTCGAGGAGCATTCGGGGCGGGGAGAGGGGGGCGGATCATGGGCTAGGCGGGGCGCACGATCGGCCGGCGGAAAAAGATGCGTGGCCCCGGCGGCCGAAATACAGGCCCGGCCGAGCGTGATCATGGTCTGGAGCGCGGGCGCCCCCGGCCGAAGCCAACTTCGTGCGTGTGATCAGCGGACATGGACGCGCGAATGCCCCGGCTCGGATCCCGGTCCGCGAGCCTGCCTGCACATTGTTGAAGAGCGCCTGCAGGAGAGCGGCGCGATACCCACGCCAGCGGCATGACTAAGGGGCACGGAGACGGTGCCTGGGCGGAGGGGGTCGAACACTGCCTTGCGATCCCCAGCCAGGGTCGGACCAAGCGTGCCTAAGCGCCAAGCGCACCCGCACGAGGGTGGATTATGCGACACAATGCGATGCCCAGCCACGGGGAAGGTGGGGCTGACCAACAACAACACCGAGGAGCGGCGACGAGGACTGGGCCCGAGCAAATGCCCTTCGGCGGCATGATCGCCTCTCGGGCGGGGTTTCACCATTTGGGCCCGGTCGCCTGGCAAGGCCCCGTCGGCAGGTCGCATGGTCTATGTGGCCCACATGACGGCGAATGCATGTGACCCGGCTCTCGGACCTCCCGGCTCTGCCCTCGAACACAAGTGCATCTCGGCCAGGGTCAACTGGCCAAAAAAGGAACCCAGCCCAAGGCGCCGGGAGAAGGGGGGGGGGGCTGTTCTTGATTCCGTCGTCCACATCGGCCCGTCTGGGGGGGGGGGGGGGCTGCCCCCCGGGGTGCACGGGGAGGGTCCCTGGTCCATTCCCTTCCTGGCTGGACCAGCTCTGCCCCCCCGGACGCGGCCCGGAGCGGGGCAGGGGCGCGGTTGCCAAAACACATAGTCCCTGCCGGTGGGACCGGTAAAAAGTACGCCGGCGCGAGTCGGCAGGCGAAGGGACGGAGGGGGACGATGACAAACAAGCCGAAATGATAGTAGCCGAAGAACGGCACGGCATGCTTTGGGATCCTTCCTCCCCGAGCGGGGCCAAACTCCCCCCCCCCCTCCCGGGAGGAGGAATCGACAGGATTGCATGTGGCGGGTGTGCCTTTTCCGATGGGTGACAAGTTGCCTGAGTCAAACTCAGTGAATGTAACAACGCTTCTCCCCCTCCTCCCCCTCCCCCCCTCGCCTCACCCTTCCCATCCCCCTCCCCCCCCACCCGCCACTCTCCACCCTCCCCCATCCTCCCCCTGCCGTCTGCCACCCTCATGACCATCAGGATCGATCACGTACTCCCTGACTCCACCCTCTGCCGATGATTCGCTGCCACCGCCGCCGCCGCCGCCGCCGCTCGCTACCCACCAGCCTTTGCTGACCTCCTTTGCCCGTGCCTACGCCCGCATCAACGCGCTCCCCAGCCCAAGTACCTCGAGGCCAAGCGCATGCTTGAGCCGCGCTTTTTCGGCATGATCAGCCCAAGCGCCGATCGATACGAGGAGGCAGCCGAGCTTTTCAATCGCACCGCCAACGACTTCCGCAAGCAGAGCAAGCGTACGTCCGCCCCCCATGGGCCCCTCTTCCCCGCCCGAATGTCTGCCCTCTTGTGCCTCCGGCATGTGTTTCCTCTCGTCCCCCTCTGACGCACGCGCGCGCGCGCGCGCGCCTATCCATGCATACGCGAATGGATTGCGCACCCCCCTTCAGTTGAGGAGGCCGCCCAGTGCTTCCGCGATGCGGCCACTGCCTTCAAGATGGCCGGCTCGGAGTTCGAGGTGTCTGTCGCCATGACCAACGCCGCCAACGCCTATCGTCAGATGGCCTCCCATGGTATGTCCGGCCGTTTCACACGCGCGCGCGTACGCGCGCGCACACACACACACACACACACACACACACATTTCCCATCTCGCCTGTCCTCTGCTCGTGGCTCTGCTCGCATGTTCCCTGACCCCCCTGCTCGTGTATGTCCCCCTTAGATGCCAATATGGCCCGCCAGATGGTGGACTGCCTGGAGAACGCCTCGGCCATCCTTCTGGATATGGGTCGCTTCTCCATGGCTGCGCGCCACAAGAAGGACATCGCCGAGGCCCACGAGAAGTACGTTGCAGCACCTGTGAGCATGTGTCATGCCCCGATCCCCCCCCCCCCTCTTACCTCTTGCTAACCCCACTGTGTGCTACACAGCATTCTCAATGCCCCGAGGCCCGCCATTGAGGCATACCAAAAGGCTGCCGAGTGGTACCGCATGGACAACAGCAAGCAGTATGTCGCCCCGCGCTCGCCGATGCATCCCCATGGATGCCTCTGCATTTCCTGCTCCTGGTCCCTCTACTCTCGCCCCCTGTCGGGATGCATCTCCCCATCTCTCTAATCACCCATCTGCCTTCGGCCCCTTGTCGACTTGTCCATCCAGTACGGCTCTCAGCTGCCTGGCCAAGTGTGCGACCCTGCACGCCACTCTGCGGGAGTTCCCCCAGTCGATCGCTTGCTTCGAGGAGCTCATTGATAGCCACAACTCCGACAACTCCGGGCGGCTGACCTGCCGTCAGTACTACACCCCGCTGGTGATTGTCATGATTGTTGAGGCCGTACGCATGCACATCAACGCGCCTCGGCACCGCCTTGCCCTCGGGGGCCCCCTTCGTTGCTGTCTTGTGACTCTGACCCTTCCATGTCCCCGCTCTCCTCCCCGTAATCCCCCCCCCCCCCCTCCGGATTCAGCTCACCAACCCGGCCAAGGCCAACCACGATCCGACTGAGGCTGCCCGCGAGAAGCTGGACTACTTCAACTCGATTGACAGCAGCTTCAATCGCACTCGCGAGAACCAGCTCCTAAACGTGCGTCCACTCCCTTCTTCCTTCGGTTTGTCCTTTCCCCCCCCCCCCCTCACAATGGCTCGGCTCTCTAACATCTTACTTCTTTCCGCGAAAAAAAAACAGGACCTCCTCGAGGCCATTGACAACCGCAGTCGCGATGAGCTGGCTACGGCCGTGGCGGAGTACATGCGCATGGCGTCCTTGGACAACTGGACCACAGACCTGCTGCTGCTTGCGAAGAACAGCCTCCCAGAGGATGCTGTCGGTGGCTCCAAGGGCGACTTCGACGGAATCCTGTAAGAAGCCGGCGTTCCTCTCGGCCGCACTGGACCCCCTCCTCTTTGTTCCCGACCGCCCCTGGTCTGCTGATCGCACCTGCGTGTTTGGGAAGGAAGGGGGTACTCCTCGTTGTTCTCTCTCCTCCACACACGCTCTCATACACACACACACACACACACACACACACACACACACATATCCGCACAACAAAAGCCATCCATGTGTTTGTATATATATATACCCAATCGCTATTGTGGGCCGCACAGCGAGGCATGCATCTCGGGCGGGGGCCTGTGGCAGAACGCCAATGCCATGCGCTGTGGTAGAAAGGGCACGGGCCAGCGTGAGATCCAGATGAAGGCGAGAGAGAGAGAGAGAGAGGGGGGGGGGGAGAGAAAGAAAACTATGCCCGGCCGGTCGGGTGCTCGCGACGCCACTCGAGCAGCCGCATGGCCAGAGCCGTGGCCACGGCATTGTCCCGAGCACAGGCGACCAGGGGATCATCCCGGCCAGCGGCAAAGAGAGCCATATGCTGGGCAACAGCTTCGCAGATGGCCGGCGCAAAGGGGCTCCCGGCAAGCGGGCACGGGCCGATTTCGATTTTCCTCTGAGCCTCTGGACCCGTCTCGTGGCCGAAGAAGAAGGCCGCCAGGGCACGGCCGCTCTCTCCTTCCTGCTCGCCGGGATCGCCATGAAGAGCATGCTGCAGCCAGGCCCGAGCGGCCAGCTCCTCGCGGGAAGGTGATCCTGAGGGCGCGTGGGCCCGGCGGTCGGCCTCACGCTCGGCATCCGCACCAGGTGGCTCATTCAGCAGCCCAGGCGGGATTCCCGGGTGATCGGGACTGGAGCAGAGCGAAGGGGGACAGCAGCGACAGGGGGGGGGGGGAGGTCAGGTCAGAGTGCGCAAGGGCGCCAAGGAGAGACAAAGGAAAAGGCGGCAGACAGGCAGGCGGACAGCAGGAAGGGGAAGGACGCACCCTCCATCAAGATGACCAGGCATCCCTGGCGCGAAGTAGGATAGCGAGGGGATCAGACACTGCTGGGTCCGGGCGAAGATGGCGGCCACCACTTCACTGGAGGTCCCTGGGTCAAGACTGTGCCGGGGGAGGAGGACAGGAAGCCAGTCAGACAGGGGGAGGGGATGGACACGGGGACCGGGCCGATCGGGGTGAGGCACGTACGTGGCAAAGTGCGCCGCACGAGCCGAGCTCCTGCAAGAGAGGAACCGCCACCGGCAGAGGAGGGCCACCAAGAACAGGTGATACGCGCGCCCTTGCTCCAAGGAAACGACTGACGGCAGGACAAAGTGGTAGTCCTTCGGCAGGGGGGGTTGGAAAAGGAGGCAGGGCGGGACCGGGCCGCTGGGAGCCCCAGCCGGCACCGGTGCTAGGGAAGAGGGCGAGGGGTGTGAGAAAGAGCCGGCCGAATGCTCATCGCCGAGGCCGAGGCGCGAACGCCGGCCCATGGCATCCGGCATCGGGGGGGTGTTTCGATCGCTTCCAGGGCCCCCGGTCGTGGCCCCGGCGGCCAGCGGCGAAAAGGACCCCGGGGAGGATCCCGAGGGCGAGGCTGACGGAAGGCCCAGCGACGAGGAGGAGGAGGAGGCAGAAGACCCGGCGGACATACTGGGCGTGGTGTGGTACGGTGGCGAAGACAGGGGCCGATGATCGGCCTCAGCCGGGCGGGACGCCGCGGGGACCACCGCCGCCATTGGAGGCGTTTCAGTGCGGATGGCCGAACGCGGCCGGCGCAGCATGACAGGCGCCGAGCTGGATTCCGATTCCGAGGAGACGCCCGACAGAACCGGCGGGCTGGCAACACCGACAATCGACACCGGCGGCCGAGTCCCCATGGCCACCGACCGCGCTGAGGGAGACGCCGACCGGCCGGAAGGCTCGCCCTGCGAGTGTGTCCGGCCCGGGCGATCGCGCCCATCGCGCGCATCCGCCCGAGTGTCCCGCGCATCGCGAATGTCGCCGGCTTTGGCCGACGAGCGCTCCGATGGCCGGCTGGCTGGCGGCTGGGAGGGGGCATGCCCGCGGCGAAGTGCCGCCAAAAGTTCCGACACTTGGTGCGATTGTGTCGGTTAAATGGGATGTCGTGGGGGAGTAGGGGGGGAGGGGGGGGGGCGAAGGAAAAAAGCGCGCGGCCCAGGGGAGACAACCAACCCAAAACCAGAACTACGGCCTTGCACGCTGACGGCCTGAGGATGACATCGAATGGGGGACGAGATCCAGCAGGGCGGGGATGAACCGGGCAGGACGATGGCGCACCTCGGGACTGATTCTGGCGGCATTGACGGAGCTGATCGGCGGTGTACTCATAGGTGTCAGGGCTCAACTGGAGCCAGCGCTCGGGCGGCAGGGTGAACAGCAAGCCCCGCTGACCCGGAGTCTGGTAGTAGGATGAAGCGTGTGAGCTGCCGCCCAAGGCCGAGGACCGTGCCGAGCCGCGTGGCTGAATGCACACCGCAACATCACGCAGTACGGCCTCGATGGTGGTGATCGGGGCATTCACCTCCTTGGATAGATCCGACACCGACAGGCAGGGCAATTCCTCCAGGCGGAAGTGCTCATACCCCGGGGCCACGGATGCCTGAAGTTGGCGCAGGCGCTGTTCATGGACATGGGGCGACAATTTGTCATTCCTGCTCAGGGGAACCGCGGCTGCGATGGCGGAAATGACTCGCTCAGCTAGCGCGCCGCTCGGCTGGGAAGGCGCCATCCGGTGATGGCCGGACCCGGCGATCGAGGGAGTCGGCTCCGGGGCGCTGGCCAACGGCCGATTGGTCAGGGGAATGATCCGGCCCAGAAGCGGGCCAAGATGCTGCAGCGTGGGCGCCCCTGTGCCAGGGGCATTCCGATAGACATGGGTGCTGCGCTTGGACTAGGAAGCCCGATGGCGAAGGTTAGACAGCAGCAGCGGCAGAGGCGCCCGGGTGCGGGGGAGGGGGGAACGGAAGGCGGGGGGGGGGGGGACGGAAGGCGGGGGGGGACCATGGACAAGGGGGAAAATGGGGGGCATGGGGGGCACAGGAACACATACCGCCGAGTGCCTCATTCGGAAGACATACTCCGGAGATCTCGGCGCGAGAGAGGGCTTTGTGAAGACAACACGCTACACACGCTCCCGGCAAGGGGGCAACCGAAAGGAAAGGAGAGCGTCAGCGGCGAAGAGAGAAGGAGGGAGGGGGCATCAGCGGCGGGAGGGGACAACACGTCGGCCCGGAGAGTGGGCGTGGAAGGGGCGCTGGCAATTCGGGAACGCACACACTCGTGAGGCGCCGACGGGGGGCCATTGTCCCCCCCGACCGGGATCGGAGCGGTATGGCTGGGAGCCGGGGCGAGAGATGACGGAAGGAGAATGCGCGTATCGGCACATATCTGCGCTCCGGGGCCGTCATAGTCCAGTGCCGGGCCGCCGGCCGCATTTGCCAGGATCTGCCGGAGGACATCCTCCGGCAAACTGACCGCAAACAATCGACGGCCAGGTTGGTTGTGTCCCCCCTCCGGCGGGTCGGCCCGGTAGTTTTCCTTCTTCAGGAAAGACATGCTGGGTGGGTGTGGAAGCGCGCCCTGGCGGATGATGGCCCGCCTCTCGGATCACCGGCCTCGTGGAGTGGTCAATCCCGGGAGAGCGCGCGCGGGTGGGCGGAGAGGATGGTGTGCGATGCGCCAGCGAGTGAAAGAAAAGAGGAAGGGGGGAAAGCGAATGAGGGAGAGTGGGGGGGGGGGGAGGCGCCAGGAGGGGACAGCTACGGTATGACTCAAGGCAGCTGCCTCATCTTTTCGCTGGGAAGCCACGACGGATGTGAATTTACGACCCCCCGACATACAGTGTGGACAGGCAAACGCGGGGAAAAGGGGTGTGAGCGAAAGGCACGCAGTGATCAGGGCGCCTCGGTGTGCCGACACTCGTCTGGGCCCCTCATGCCGCGCGCGTCCCGATGCTGCCGCCACCAGCATTAGCCACAAACAAACCTTGAAAGCCCGGCATTGGAGCAGCACCGGGCGTGTGCGGGGGGGGGGGGGGGGTACACTGCGCGATCGAGATGACACAGACAGAGCCGGAGCTGCGTTGGCAACTCGGGAAACTCTTGACACCGCCCACACGCATGCGCCTCAGGCCTCCGGGTCTGGAAACAGACGCAAAGGGCGCGTGTGTGCGGAGATCGCACCCGGCGCGAGGGGACACTGAACGACAAGCACGCATGTACACACCCGTACACGCACGCACACACACGCACACAGACGTACAAGTATGTACCCACACACGCACGCACACACACACGCACACTCACGTACACACACGTACAAGTATGTACCCACATACACACACGCACACACACACACACACACACACACACACACACACACACCCGCACACCCGCACACACACACGCACACACACCTGAGCAAGCACAAGGGATATATTTTTTTCGCCTTCCGAACCGCGCACACATAGACACACAGTATGCAAAAAGGGGAACACATGGTAAACGGCCAAAGGCGTCAAGGGACAAGAGGAAAGCACAGCGGAAAAGGCGGGCTGCTGGGGACCAGGAAGCGTGGAGAAGAGGCAGAGGGGAGAACGGCCCTCGGCCAAGCCACCCGGACGCCTCACGACCTGGATCCACTGGTGGAGGCCTCCGATGAGGAGGTCGAGGTGCCTGACGAGGCCGGAGTGATGTTGGCATAGGCCGAAGTGACAATCTCCGGCAGGGGATAGGTCTTGGTGTCGTCGTTCTTCAGATCACGCGCCTGGCGACGAACCTTGGTGTCGTACTCCTCCTTGTTGTTGCTACTCGGGAAAAGGGCGTGTATGTGCGCATCGGAAAGGGAGAGATAGATAGATAGACAGATCGGGGAGGGGGGAGGAGCAGAAGGTGAGGATCGGGAATTAAGCGGTGGAGGAAGCAAACGAAAGGCAGGGTCGGCAGCGTACACATAGGCCACATAGGCCGGCTTTTGGGCGGGACTCTCGAGGTTCGGATTGTCCAGGAGCTCCTGAATCCCGAGGAGAATCTAGCATAGCCATGGAAAAGGGCGCGCGATTGAACGGGAGAAGGGAAAGGACAAGATACAGTGGAGGGGTAAGCAGGGAGCGAGAGGGAGGGGAGCGAGAAGATGACCTGGAAGGAAGAGTGAATATGACCCACCTGCTTGACGGTGACGGCGGGTCGCCAGCCATCACCCAGAATAGACAGACACACCGTGCCGGTGGGGAAAATGTTCGGGTGATAAAGCGGCGGGTAAAATTGGCCTGAGAGAGAGAGGGGAGGAGGGAGAGAGGGGGAGAGAGAGAGGGAGGGAGGGAGGGAGGGAGGGAGAGAGAGAGAGAGAGAGAGAAAGCACAATTGGCTGGTCAGTAGCTGTACATGCGAGCAGGCTGGAGGCCGAGCCACCGAGGCCGGGCCAGGAGCGAGAATGCCACAGGCAGAGAGAGAGAGAGAGAGAGAGAGACGGGGGGATTGGCGCGCACACTTGGGAGGCCGCGCAGGGTACTCGTTGGGGAAGATCATCACCAGACGATACATGCCACCCTCCCAGGGAGTCTGGTCGCGAAAAGAGCAGGGGGAGGTAGGACAGCGAGAGGAGGGAGGGAGAATAAGGTCAGATGGTGCTGTAGTGAGGGAGGGGAGGAAACATGAGACCCTCTGCTTTCCCCCTTAACCAAGGGGCGAGGGGGGGGAGGGTGACACGCACGTTTTTCTTGCCCGGGATGCCACATTGCCATCTCATCAGGTCGAGGGAGTTGTCGGGCTTGGTGATCGGCCTCGCGAAGAATCCCTGCAAAGCGAGCAGGCCATGCGGATGCGGGTCAGCCAGAGGGCGGGGCGGGCAGGCAATAAAGACACAGGAAGGGGCGCCAGCAACGCGCGTACATAAGGGTGATCGCGACGCCACGAGCGACGCTCCTCCATCAGCCGGTTCTTGGCGAGGGACATGATGACAATGAATGTGAAGCAACCGGTGGCGAGCAGGCAGTGGGTGGACTTGCGATGCGAGAGAGAGAGAGAGAGAGCTGGAGGGAGGATAGAAAGACAGCAGAGCGGGAGAGGCAGGAAGAGGGGGGAGGAGATGCGCAGGGCGGATGGTGTGTGCACACGCCGAGACGGGAGAGGGATGAAGGCCGCATGGGCGCAGGCGGCCCAGGCAGGTTCCGGATGAATGCCCCGGTGGCAGACTCCCGCCACCGACGGCTGGATTGCCGGCGCCGGGCCGGCGCCGCTTCGCCGGCCCCACGGTCACCATCAGCCAGACCGTTTCCCAAGGCAGCCACACCGCAGTGGTCCCGGGACATGGTCTGCCAAGACTCTCCGCGCGTCCGCCCACCGGGGGGGGGGGGCTGGGCATGGGGCCCGCGCCCCCTGGCCCGCCTGCTGAGATCTCCCCGGGAGCCTGCCCAACACTGGCCAACACATATACACCCGGGCGCGGGCCAGCCAAAGGGCGCGCTACCCTGCGCCGGTCCCCGCGCTTCCAACACGCAGGCACGCCGGCAGAGCAGAACACACGCTGGAGATGGTTCTGGGTCATGAGCTCCCGCCGGCGGCCGCCCATCCCCCGGGCGGGGAGACCTGCTGCTGCACAACACCTTAGACCGGAGCGCGCATTGCGGGCGGCGGTTGGCCGGCCGTAGTGCCGAATCAGGGCACCGGCAATCGATCAGCCAGGTCTGCGGGGCAAAATCCGCCCCTGTCATGTGACGTATCTCCGGATGATATGGCCCTGGATGTGGCAGGATTCTCACGGATCCGGTCTTACGTCAAAGGGGCGGGGCTTTGACGGAAGCCATACCGGAAATCTGCTCCTGGTGGGGGGGGGGCGACACTCTCGGGACATGGGGGGGGGTGCGCACCGAACCCGTGGAATATTCCGTCGCCCGGAAGGAGAGGGTCCGGCAAGTCGGCCCGGGGCGGGTGGGCGATCCAGCAAGAGGGAAGAAAATATATGTTTAATAATGGGCCTTCAAGCCTGATAATGGATGTTCGCGGGTCTTGTTTCGGGGTTGTTCGCGCATGCTCTTCGACACACACACACACACACACACACCTGCTCGGGTCTTTGCTCCCGACAGACACCCGGGGGGAGGACCTGCTCCTTTTTTCACCTTCGGTGCTCGGTCAAGGGGCAGATGTGGAAAAGCCACGCCTGCTCGGGTCACTGCCGGCCCCGGGCGCCCCGCAAAGGCCCAAGGTCGGCGGTTACGTCGCCCCGCATTCCGCCCCCTTAGAATGCTGTTTGGAATCTCAGACAATCACATGGGCTCGCCACGAGACTCCCGCGTAGGAACCAGATGATCCTGCCCTTCGGTCTGGTGGAATTCCGCTACACAAGCCTGGCCCGCACGGGCCGGGCGGGGATTTGGGTATTAAAAAGGACACAGCTGGGTCGCGTCCGCCAGAAGGATTCTGGACGAGGTCGAACGGCCGGTCGGGGGGGGGGGGAGGGGGGGGGGCAGCTGCGGTGCACAAGAGCCAGCCTCGGAAGCGTTGCCCCTGAGGACGGTCGCCAGGGCCGTCGCGATACTCCCCCGAGGCGCCGGGCCGCCGCGGTGGGAGGGGGAACACCCGCCCATCCCGCCTGGTGGGCTTTGAGCCCGGGCTTTTC